CAGTGTACGCGATTGCCGATCACTTTGGTCAACATGCGTCGACACCGATCATGCACTGGTGTGTGCGACCGTTTGCATGCGTTTTGGTGGTTCGCCTAGGTCAAGACACACCCGACTAAACGCCTACAAGTTGGAGGACCCAATGGTGAAGAGAGATTATCAACAAAAGCTTCACGAAAAACTCCCTCTCTCTCACAATCTGGATGTTGATCAACACTGGTCAAGTCTCCAGCAAGCCTTGTTGTCGGCCGGTTTGTCCAGCTGTGGCCTCACTCGCTCCACTCCCAAATGCTGGATCTCGGGAAGATCATCAAAATTGCTGGATCGTCGACGGGCGGTGCCTGCTGGCGCAGAGTACAACGAACACCGCCGGTCTATTACGCAACAGCTGAAAGCAAGCCTTCGCTCTGATCGTGAATCCTGGTGGTCAAAACAAGCTGGTGAGATGGAAGCCGCTGCATCAGCTGGCAACTTCCGCCGTCTGTTTTACATCATCAGGGCCACTGGTTGCAATTTCCACGCTATCAGCCAGACGATTTGCGAGGCAGACGGCACGAAGATCACCAACCTTCACAGACGATTGGGTCGCTGGTCAGAGCATTTCGCCCTTCAATTCAACCACCCAACACAGTCCCCTGCGACACCTCCACCCCCAATGTATGATGCTTGGCCTGTCTCCACAGCCCCTCCAAATGAAGCAGAGATTCGAAATGTAGTCCAATCTTTGAAACGCCACAAAGCTTCGGGCCCAGACAACCTGCCACCAGCTCTATTCAAAGATGGTGGGAGTGTACTTATCAGCGAAATCCTATCGCTGTTCACGAAAGTTTGCACTGAGGAGAAGGTTCCGAGCTCATGGGGAGAATCGGTCATTGTCCCGATTCACAAGAAGGGTTCCCGCGCCGATTGCTGCAACTACCGCGGAATCTCCCTGATCTCTGTCGCATTCAAAATCTTCGTGTCGGTCCTACTTCGCAGGCTTTCAACGACTAGAGAGGAGTTTTCCCGAGAAGAACAAGCAGGATTTCGTCCAGGCCGCGGCTCCATCGACCAAATCTTCACGCTTCGGCAAATTCTCGAACTTCGTCACATCCACCGGCGGCCAACAATCGCAGTGTTTTTAGACATCCGAGCGGCATTTGATTCAGTAGATAGATCTGCGTTGTGGAACTGTTTACTGAAGGAAGGTGTGCCCGACAAGTTTGTTACCATCCTGAAAGTACTTTACAGTCACACGTCGGGCAAAATTAGGGCTTACGGCACGCACTCCTCTTCATTCGCTGTGACCAGCGGTGTTCGCCAAGGTTGCCCTATTTCACCTTTCCTCTTCAATTTCGCCATCGACGATGTTCTACAAAGAGCACTGGAAGGTGTCCAGGACTGCGGTGTTGAGCTTCTCCCTGGAGAAAGAGTCACGGACTTGGACTACGCCGATGATATCGCCTTGCTGGGGGACGACGCACAATCCGTCCAGAACGCTCTGGACCGCTTGGCGATGGAGGCATCTAAGTACGGCCTATGCTTCACTCCGGGAAAATGTAAAACGCTGCTCCAGGATTGGCAGGTGCCTGAACCCGCGCTCACCATTGCTGGACATGTTCTGGAGCAAGTCCCTTGCTTTACTTACCTAGGGAGTTTCATCACGGCTGGTGGCGGTGTTGGAGATGAAGTCTCACAACGGATTGCAAAGGCCCGCCTTGCATTCACCAAACTGAGACATCTATGGCGTCGTCGTGATGTCAGTCTCAAGCTCAAGGGCAGGGTGTACAATGCTTCCGTCCGTGCAGTACTCTTGTACGGCTGTGAGACTTGGCCTATTCGCTCGGAAGATATGAAGCGGCTATCAGTCTTTGATAATCGCTGTCTACGAAGGATTGCTAGGGTGTGGTGGCAACACCACGTAAGCAACGCAGAGGTGAGAGACCGCGTGCTTGGGCCGAATAGTGCCAGTCTTCAAGACGTTATTCTCCGACATCGCATGCGCTGGCTCGGGCATGTTCTGCGCATGCCAGCCCATAGCCTTCCACGTCGAGCGCTATTCGCACTCCCAGGGAGCGATTGGAAAAGGTGCCGCGGTGGACAGCCGATGACGTGGAGAAGGAGTATGAAGAATGCGACCTCAAGTTTGGCAGCAGTCGGACCAGTCCGCCTTCCAGGTTGGGGACCACGAGATGCTGAATTGCAGTGGTTGGAAACACTGGGCGTCATGGCCCGCAACAGACATCAGTGGCGGCAATGTTGTTCCGCAATTTCACCATCCCTTTGATACACATACAAACTCACAAAACAAAAAAACAAAATGGCGTGTGTAAAACCACAAAAAAATCGTTTCCCACATTTTTTAAATCGCATTAGTGTTCCCATCTTCTTCACCTTTTTCTTCTGCCGTGGTTCTGATGGCACAATGTCTGTTAACAGACTGTGAATAAATATATAATATGGGAGCTTAAATAATAGCTTCTAAGGGGGTATTCCACACGTGGCAAACAAGCAGCGAAAAGTAATTACTTCGACGCTCCAACCGACTGTATTTTTCGGCCAATTTCATATCATGACATCTCATTTGGCAGTTGTGTATCAGCTTCAACAGGTGAAGACACGGGTTCATGGTGTGTTTTAAAAGTTGGGAAGCCGTGTTTAGACCACCACACAAACAGCGACAACGTCCACTGAAAATGCCAAGTACTCTGAGGCGCTGTTCGTATGACAATTGGCGCAGTCACATGACATTTCTGGTCGCCCGACATTGTGGATGCTCCAAGGCCATGAGATACCGCTTTAGCCACGGGCGCCATGCCTGAATTGCATATTCAACGTGAGGGCGTATATAAGCGGAAAATGTTTGACGGAAAAGGGACGGTTCGAATTTTCCGAAAGCTTTCCGTGAAAGCCCCACGATTTGGATCCCCTTCTTCGATGCCTTTTTGGACTGCTCCGAGCAGTCAAGATCTTTTTGAACAAGCACAACGAGACCCATTTCGCAAAAACAGTGTTGCAGATCCTGGTCCCTCAGCATATATGTGTTAACCATCCGGCGTCGTACATAGAGTGCTCAACATGTAGCCACAGGGAAGAAAGGCCGATTTTGGACCGACCATCCATAAGTCTTGTCAATCTCGCTTTGAAGCTGGATACGGTCTTCGGAAGCTCTGAGCACTCGCTAAACTTCGATGTCATCGGCGTAGGGTAAACAATTTAGTTGCTTTTGCTCATTAGATCGTTTATGAAGAACAAGGAACAACAGAGGCCTAACAACGAACACTTAGGCTCTCTGCATTTTCATGAATTTGGTCTGATGCGGATGCACGTACTCTCACCTGTAGAAGCCTGAGCGAGAGAAAATTGCAGATCCACCCGAGGAGAGGGTCCCCAATGCAACATTCTTGATGTGTAGCGGGAGAGATACGATGGTCCAACCGGCTGAATGCCTTAGCGAAATCAAAGTAAGCTGCATCCACACCTGCACCAGCGTCCATCCTTTCGGTCCAGCTGCCTTGTGCTGACAATAGATTAGCTGTGCACGTCCGATTCTGGCAGAAGTCGTGTTGCTGCTGAACAACGTGACCAAGGCGGTCCAAATAAGTCGTGAGTGCTTCAGCAGCCACAGTCTTCATAACTTTTAACAGAGCTGGCAGAAGTGTCACTGGTCGATAATTAGCTGGGTTGGAATGCCTAGCCACTTTGTGAATGGGAATTGTCATCAAGTGTTTCTACATTGCAGGAACGTGCAGCTCGTTGAGGCAGTACCGAAACAGCCGCGTCAAGGGTTAATCCATAAGTTTAGCTGCCACAACTAGCATCCGTTGGCGGATGTCATCAATTGCTGGACAGGCGTGCAGGTGCATGGATAGCAGCTTTCGCATCACAGTGTCTGACGTGTAGTTTATATGAGTTAGTCCTGGTGTGAGCACCATAGATCCCAAAGCTTCAGAAGACCACGGGATGCGATGAAACGTTGTTACAGAATATTCGACGCATTTTAACAGTCCGAGTTAGACCATCCACTGTTTGAAGAGGGGAAATCCCCTTTTCACCTTGCGGAGGCTGTTCACCAGTTTGTACAGTAGCTTAGGATTTGAAGTTATTCGCTCTGCTAAAGCATATTGATAGGCTACTTCGTCCTCGCGCAGTAATTGGGTACAGTGGTTACGGAGGACACGATATGTCTACCAGGTACTCGGCCTCGGATCAGTATTGTTGGTATGTAGGAGCTTTAACTTATTTAGCTATTTTTAGCTTATTTCTCTTCGCACAGAGAAGCTACTAGCCACAATCATGTGACTTTCTAACCACATCATTCAAAAGCTATTGATGTGCATACAATCAATGGACAACTTACTTTGAACTCTGGCTTATACCATCTAGCCAACTATCACCTGTGTTTTCCCTGTGCAATCTTTCTGCCGTACTGTCGTAGTGTATTTTCGGGAGCCTCCCAAAATATATCACTGGTATACCAACAAGATTTTATTTCTAACATCCAGTAAGGACGACGGGACATGGCTATTTTCGGACTCCGCATCTAAGCAGCGCTCCTACAAATTGGAGACCCCGACGTGAGTTCGTTCTATCGGATTCAGCTTCCATCATCCGGTGAGTCGTGTCCATTTTCGTCGTTCTTTTTATTGCTTTCATGTATGCGAAATGATTGCTCAGCAAACTGGGGAGATTAACACCGGATCTACTAGCTGTTTACCAACATTTTGGATACAATATCCTCAGCTTTGGTTTTTTCAGGCCGAGTCATTTTTTTGTAATTAATCGCATACATAGGGATGTCTCAAAAGTGCATTATGTGATCTCTATCTCCCACCTGAATTATTACTCCTGGCACAGGATATCCTGAAGACAAGCCCCACAAATCAGCAACTAAGGGACTTTTTAATTCGCGAGCTTAGCCTTAGTGAGCGTAAGAGAGTGCAACGTCTACTTATAGAAGAACAGTTAGGCGATCGCACTCCTACGCAACTACTGCGAGTCATGCAAGCTCTGGTAGGTGACAGCCCTCCAGAGAATTACATCTTTAGTCAGTTATTTTGCAACGGCTCCCTACACATGTACAACAAATACTGGCTAACGCTCATCAGGATACCGACTTGAAAGACCTAGCCCTTATGGCTGGTAAAATAATGGAAATACAAGCGCCCACGATCTCAACTTCTTCGCCTCCTATAACTGACGACTCGCTAGTAAAAGCTGTGCACTCCCTGCAGCAGCAACTGGATTTACACTTCGATAACATACGTTTCAGAGAACGGTTGCCACTTGACAACGATATCACCCACTTGTGACTCACTGCGTAAACAAGCATTTTGTGTGCTACAGAAGGAGTTGCTGAACCATCTCAGGATAACCCCCGGACGTGTTTATTTTTTTTAAATGTTTTTTGATTATCACCCGATGGAGTTGTACAGAACTATTTTCTACTTGCTCCAAAATACAGTATTCAGTATTCAGTATTCACCCGCCGAAACCGTAATTCTCGGTCAGGCCATCGGCGTATTCGCAGCGCTAATCGTTCACGTGGCATTTGTTGGTATCACCGTAGGTTCCGTAACAAAGCTCGGAAATGCATAAAGCCGTGTCGATTTTCCAGTTCGGGAAACGAACACGCCAGCTCGTAATGGCGACGACGCAAGCTGGCATATGCGAGCCAGGTCGCCTCTTTTATCTGCGAGATGTAAGATCTGGCATGCGATTCCTCGTAGACACTGGTGCCCAAGGCAGTGTGGTTCCTCCACGTCCGGAGGACTTAAGGCACTGCTCTGTATACAGCCTGCAGGCAGTAAACGGCACGCCTATCCGAACCTATGGAGAACGGTCCATTACGCTGAACCTTGGTCTCCGTAGGCCTTTTCCTTGGATTTTCATTGTAGCCAAAGTGCCCACTGCCATTCTAGGCCTCGATTTCTTCCAGCATCATGGCATTATTGTCGATCCCAAGCGCTGCCAAATCATTGATGGCCTAACGCAAATATCTCGGGCTGGTTTTAAAGGGTCCATTATGTCTATGAGTCCGCAGCTTGCCCCATCACGAGCCACTCCAAAGTACCTGGATTTGTTACGAGAGTTTAACAGCTTAACAAAGCCTGGATACCATCCCGGTGATGTCAAACATGAGATCGTACATAGGATAACGACAACAGGTAGTCCAGTATTTCATCGTCCGCGGCGTTTAGCGCCAGATAAACTTTCCGTAGCGAAGGCTGAATTTGACCATATGCTACAATTGGGCATAATACGTCCATCCAGCAGTACATGGGCATCGCCGCTACATATGGTCCCGAAATACAAGCCTGGGGATTGGAGACCTTGTGGGGAATATCGGGGACTAAACGCTATCACCGTCCCAGACAGGTATCCCATTCCGCATCTCCAGGATTTTTCTTCCTCGCTATACAGAAAACACGTGTTCAGTAAGATAGATTTAGCACGAGCATATTACCAAATTCCTGTTCATTCACAAGATGTTTATAAGACTGCCGTTACTACACCTTTTGGCTTATTTGAGTTCTTGCGAATGCCATTTGGTCTCCGCAATGCAGCTCAAACATTTCAGCGTTTTTGGATCAGGTTATTCGTGAGCTCGATTTTGTTTTCGTCTACATTGACGATGTCTTGGTTGCAAGTTATAACCATGACGAACACTTGCGTCATCTGCGACAACTGTTCGAGCGATTTGCGCATTATGGGGAGGTTATCAATGCCTCCAAGAGTCAGTTTGGTGTTGATACGGTAGACTTTCTTGGTCACCGTGTTTCCTCCTCCGGAATTACACCCCTACCCGACAGAGTGACAACCATCACTGAATACCCTATCCCCGATTCCCTCAAAAAGTTATGTCGGTTTGTAGGCATGGTTAACTTCTACAGACAATGGAACAATGGAACAATGGATTTATGCGGGTATAAAAGCTAAAGCTTGACAAATCCCGTAGGGTGATCAGTGCGAAAAGCATAGAAGTGTGGAAAATTCAATGGAAACCAATTCAGTAAAATCGTTAGCCAACGAGTCACTACAAGCTTGTGGACGCACCGAGTTTGAAGTGTCAAACTAATAATCCACTATAACTCGGAGGGAATCATGAGGCATGGAGTATTTGGTTAAAAGAGTCACTGCTCCTTGAAATTCGCATGGCGCAAAGTGTTTGAGTTTGAAGCGTCCAAATATACATCCACTGTTGAAATTTGCGTGGGGGAAAATTATTTTTAAAGTATGGATTTTGGATCTCTCAAAACTAGACTGTACTATGGGAGATAGTGCAATGAAGTGAGGGCATTATCAACTCGATTTTTGAACTCGATCAGGTTGGGTGCACTGACTACAGATTCTGGGAGAGCATTCCAGGCTTGGCAAACACGCACGGAAAAGAAATTCCGTCGACATTCCAAACGGCTGTACTGCACTGCCAGCTTCAGATGATGGCCTCTCAGGTTGTTGTTGTTACTGAGCTCCAGCAGATGGCGGCAGGTATGATTGGGGTCTGTCAGAATCTGATAAGCCAAAATCAAATCTCCCCGTAGTCTTCGATATTGACCACTAAATATCCTGAGCGATCTCAGTCTGTCTTCGTAGCGTAACTGGCCTAAACCTTTCACGTTCTTCGTTGCGCGTCGTTGAGGTTTCTCTAAATCAGAGAGGTCTTTCCTCAGCCACGGCTGCCAGACTTGTATTGCATACTCCACGTGTGGTCGTATGTATGCACCTAGAAGTTGGTGAAAAACGGATGGATCGAAGCGTCCAAATGTGCGCCGGAGAAGGCCCAAATTTCGATGCTCACGTTCGATGCTTTCTTTGCCTGGGCTGAACAACCAAGGTCGGACTGAATCAAGACTCCTAAATCCTTTTCCTCAGCAGTTGTGTGAAGCACATGGTCACCCAGTTTATAGACGTTCCATCCCACACTGTTCTGAGTTAGCCCAGCCACTTACCGAGCTACTCAAATTAGATGCCAAATCATTCAGCTTCACGGAATCAGTTAAGCGGGCATTCAGTGATCTAAAACATCAGCTAGCAACTGCCACATCATCATCATCATCATTACACGTTAGCTGGAGGTGGAAAACACCTCAGCTATTGTGCCGCAATACAAAAGGCAAGAAAAGAAAAAAACAAACAAACAAACAGTGGCACGCCCGCTGAGTCCCCAGTAACGGATGGACATCGTTCCGGAGAGCTAACAGCTGGCTGCCGTAAAAGAAAGTCATATTATGCCTAACGATTGAGATCGTGATTGGAGGGGGATGCTAAACAGGAGGGGGATGGACAAAGGAACTCACAACACAAACGCCATTGGGGCCGGCTCCTAGCCATATCAGCAAGTGTGTCCAACCAAATGTGTTCACCGTCCTTAGGACCCCAGCCAGGCAGTCGGGATGCACCAACCGACGCCAACTTCGAAGTGAGGGTTTTCATTTCTCTCGACCAAGTCATCACTTGGCCTCCCCTCCTCCTCTTCCAACCGCACCTACAACGCGCAAACAATGCACGTCGTGGGAGTCGGTGTGCTGGCATGCGCAACACGTGGCCCAGCCATCGGAGCCTGGTGCGTGATATAATGGTGCTGAGCGGTTCACTCGCTCTTCCTGCACCAAATACGCGATGCCGAACACGCTCATTGCTCACGCGGTGTTCCCACCAGACATGAGCTGAGCTGCGAAGGCAGCGATGATCGAACGTGACGAGTCTCTTCATGTCTGTCGACCTGATGGGTCAGGTTTCACAGCCATATAGGAGAGTTGAACGGACGGCTGCGTTGTAAACTCTGCCCTTGAGGGCGAGAGTAATGTCGCGTCTGCGCCACAGGTGGCGGAGATTGGCAAAAGCACCTCGAGCTTTTGCCATACGGTTCGTAACCTCATCTTCAATCCCACGGGTGCTAATATAGCTGCCCAGGTACTTAAATTCCTGAACGACTTCTAGCAGATCATCACCAAGCGTTAGCGCAGGGTTGGGTCCCTGCCAATCTTGGAGAAGTACTTTGCATTTCGATGGAGCAAAGCATAGCCCAAAACGATAGACAGCCAGTGCTAATCGGTTCAGTGCTGCTTGGCATGTTTGGGAGCTGTCACAGATTAGGGCAATATCGTCTGCATACTCTAAATCAAGAAGTCGCTCACCAGGGAGTAGCTCCACACCTTCTAGGTCGTGTCCAGCGAACGCTGTTTCCATGACTTCATCAATAGCGAAGTTGAAGAGGAAAGGTGACAGCGGGCATCCTTGTCTCACACCGCTGGTGATACTGAAGGGTGGCGAGAGTTTGCCATAAACCCTCACCCTGCCCGAACTATGTGCGTACAGCGCTTTGATAATGTTTACATATTTATCAGGCACACCTTTCCTCAACAGACAGTCCCAAAGGGCACATCGATCGACTGAGTCGAAGGCACCTTTAATGTCAAGAAACACGACAACGGTGGGTCGCCAATAAACATGGCGGTGCTCCAACACTTGACGCAATGTGAAGATGTGGTCGATGCAGCCCCTACCTCGACGAAATCCGGCTTGCTCTTCACGAATTTGGCTTTCACGAGTGCCAGTCAGTCTGTGGAGAATGAGAGATGCAAGCAATTTAGAAGCAATCGAAATCAGACTGATCCCTCTATGATTGCCACATTCTAAACGGGAGCCTCCCTTGAAAATTGGGACAATGACGGAGCGGTTCCAGTCTGTCGGGACTGACTCCTGCTCCCAAAGTTTTACTAGCAACTCGTGTAGATCATCTACTAGAGCAGGTCCACCGAATTTGAAGAGGGCTGGAGGAATTCTATCTGCTCCTGCGGCCTTATGCAATTTCAACAGCCTGATCTCACGTTCGACTTCTGCGCGTGAGGGCGGATCCAAGCAGACGGCTCAAGGAGAAGGGCGCTCAATGCCCGAAGAAAACGATAACTCAGGTTGGTTAAATTGCATAGCAAAGTGTTCAGCCCAACGCTCCAAGCGTTTTGACAGGCTGTGGATCATCTGCCCACTCTCGTCGTGTATGGTCTCCCTAACATCAGATCTCCTGCTGCCTGTTGCCCGTATCAGCCGGTATAACTTACGATGGTTACCAATGGCAGCGGCTGTTTCCATCTCAGAGGCACGATGAGACCACCAGGTTTCGCGGTCCATTTTTAGGCTAACACCTAGTTCCGCCCTGAGATTTATGCGAGCTTCATTGTATTCGCTTCCAGCCGGAATATGTCGGCGAGCATCCATAAGTTCCAGAGACTGTGTAGAGACCCAATGTTCGGTTTCGCAATTTGTTTTGCCACATGAAGACATGCCTGCTAATAGCCTGCTTGACGAGCATGCGACCAGTGATCTTCAACGGTGTTTAGTGGGCGCTTACTCAGCCCAGATGTCAGCGTATCTTGGTACACATTCAGAACATCTGGCTTCGCCAGCTGGCTAGTGTCAATCCGTTCACATTGATGTCGCGGACGTCCACCGAAACGCACCAGGAGGTCGGCACATACAAGTGCGTGGTCAGAGTCCACGCTCGTGCTCCAAATCGAGCGACAGTTTTGGACACAGTCTCTCCAGCGGTAACTGATCGCGATTTGATCGATTTGCGTCCATGACTGGCCCCAGGCTGGTGGCCGCCAAGTCACACTTCTGCGGGTGCTGTGTCGAAAGTTAGTGCTCGCGAGAAACAGGCGAGCATCTTCACACAGCTGGAGCAATCGCTCACCATTAACATTACGGGAGCCTACACCATATTGGCCGCCCAGATGAAGCTCATCAGAGGACAATTTTCCGACTTGGGCGTTTAGATCGCCAGCCAGCACCACAGTATCCGTGCTTCTTCTGTAACGAAGGAGCTCGTGAAGTTGCTGATAGAAATCATCTTTTACCGAATCAGTGCTACAGTTTGTAGAGGCGTAGGCCGCAATGACAAACAGGCACCGTTTGTCCCCACGCGACTTCGAAGCACGGAACGAACCAGCTAATCTAACGGCGCACATCCTACTGTTTACTGGGATCCAATCAAGCTGGGCAGCTTCAGCCCGGGGACTCAAAACAATTCCGACGCCAGCTTGACCGGCATTTGAAGCTGCATCATCGCCAGATGGGCGCAATGAGAATGTGTCGCCAGTGTCGCATGTGGGGGGTCGCAGGGTAAGCACAGAGCTCGAACCTTGCAGGCGGGTTACTGATAAACAGCAAATATCGATCGATAGGGTTTCTAGTGTGCGGGCAAGTGCTGCCTGTTGGCCAATCTGTAGCAAACTGCGCACGTTGAGGCATGCCAATCTTAGCGAGACACGAGGACTCCAAAGGGAAACGGATGAACTGACGTTGTCCGCTTGGTTGAACATGGACTTGTCGACTGGATTGGAGCGAGGCCCTGCGTTTGTGTGTGATTTGAAATTAGAAGACAAGCGACTATTGAAGTAAGCTGGGGGAGGGCCAAGAATTGGGGGATTGAAAATGGGGGGGATATAAGTAAAGTTGGAGCGGGACAATAAGGATGCAGAGGCGCAATAAGGGGTATAAGAAGACGGGAAGGCCTGAGCAGTAGCATCCAAACCCCTATCCACCCTGCTCGATGCAGCAGATAGGGCGCTGTTTATTATCCTCTGCGACGACCAGAGCATCAAAAAACTGTTGTAGGAAAGGTTCATTGTATTGCGTGGGCAGAATACTGTCAGGTTGCCCAGGCCTAGACAGGAGAACGATTAGGTTTCTCAACCAAAGCCTTTGGTTCAAAAACCTTACCGCAACTGCCACTCTC